CCCCCCCCCCCCCCCTTCCTTTACTTAAGAAGTTTTGGAAAATTCAGATATTTTAACCAAAATTTGTAAACAACAAACATGACAGATTGTCTGCAGTAATGGTTGCAAGACTCAAAATCCATCGAAAACGAGTTTGGAAATGTGAAAGCAGCAGGCTTGGATTATCCTTTCAACTTAAAATTATTCAGCATTAAATTTTAAATGCTTCGTCCTCATGCGTTTGCGCTTTGACCTCGGATATCATTTTTCATTTGTCCAAGTACATAATATTTTCTGTAGCTTGATAAGTGTCTTAATTTCTGGGGCAATTTCCGGAACTCGTATATGTTTTCCAATTTTAATCGTAATCCCGCCTTTCATTGGGTTAAAGATTTGAAAGCCAGTTTCAGCTGTGTAGCTGTTTAAATTGGTATGGAGAGAAGTCTCTGTGGATGTTCAGTTGGTAACTGCACGGAAGAAATTGTACAAAAGTACAAGGGCAAAATTCTTAAAGCTGAGCACTGATAATGTTCATGTTTTTTTTCCTTTTTTGATCAGCGGAACGGCAACGTTTTGTTATCGTGTTGGTGTCCTCAAGCCTTATCTATTGATGTACCTGGTCTGTAGATCTATTTTTCTCGAGTTCATTTTAACCATCACCGCTGTAGTCGTTGGTTTCATCTCTTCAGAAGGTTTCTATTGACAGAATAATTCAAGTTTCACAGTTTCGAAAGGTAAGGCGTGTTGTGAAATTTATTGCAATTTTTTACCCATGCCAATTTTAAGCTGTATGTGGTAGCGACAAACACAGGCAGCAAGTCTGTCAATATTTAACAATAAGGCATTACGGTTTGTCTTCTCTTTATTACAAAAGAACAAAATGAGCCGAAATACAGATTATAGCCTCGTTCACCATTACTATGTTGCAGGATTCTGCGTTTACTCAGATCTGATTGACTAAAATAAGACGAGAGGAGAACTAACAATTTCAACCATAACACGTCAGAAATCCTTTTACGTTCGCAAGGCTAATAATTACTCTTCCGAACTTTAAATTGCCGCAGCTCGTCATGATTTTCTTTCCAATTAGTACAACTCATTGAAAACATGAATTACAAAGGATTTATCAAACTGGGACGTAACAAACTAGGAGTTTTTCACAGTGAGAGTTTTAGAAGCGGATATAATGTAGTACTGAGGTAATTGCAAACCGAAAATAGAGCCTCAATGGAATCCTTTACATTTCTCTGCTCAGGAAAAAAAAGGCCCAGAAGCCATTGACGTTTCCTCGATACATCAAACGAGTTGGGTAAGGGCATGTCATTGAAAAACCATATTTCGAACAGAACAATACGATTATTTATTTAGCTAAAAGCATACATACCTTATTATTTTTCAAGCCTCTTGTCATGCCTGAGTCAGCCGACGTTGCGGTGACAACCATGTTAGCCCTACTAATAATAGCGGACATCAGTGGAAACTGTCTGGTTTGTTTGGTTATAAAGAAAAATAAAGATATGAGGTGAGTTGACGCTGAAGTCTGACTAAGACAAGATAAAATAGCCAATTTTGTTGTCAAACGTAGGCTATGCACGCAACAAAAGATAAAAGAAATTTTGTATTCTTATTGGCTACAGATTCAATAATAATACAAGAAATCAAGCGAAGAATCTTGTAGGGCAATATTTCTCGCTTTAATCCCACAAGTAAAAAATGCTTGAATCGGTTATGAAATTTCAGAGGTTCATGGCAAGTTTTTCTGTGATCAAACTATGTAAATGTAAAGAAAACGAAGATCGTCATATTTCGTGCTTTGTTCCTCCGCCATATCGCAGATCGGCGATTTATCGCACATTTTAGAGACATGTCAAAAACGACAATTCGACGTGGTATCGAAGTTTTCGTGCAATATCTTGCCGATATAACTTTCCTGCGAAATGTCACGATAGTCATTTCTCGTTGATCGAAAGCTGTGATATCATCACCATATATCGTTCCGGCGGAAAATTACCAACGGGATCTCCCGCAGCGAGAGATAGACATCCTCAATTGTATCTCTGAAAAGTATGACCACAAGATACTTTTGACTGCATAATCACCTCAGGTTGAGTTTTATAAAATGCTACCCCTGCGGCTTATTCCATGCATTGGGAATTCTGTACACGTAAATTAAAGTTACTTACGGAAGAAAGCTCATCAAAATCACAAAGAAGTTGAAAAAGAAACTCTAACAATGTGAAGACATGCATGTTCAATATTAAAAGAAGTTAACAAAAACCATCTTTTAATTGCAGTGTCTGTCCTACCAGGACTGATTTAGTGGCACAAAGAAAACACCATGACTAGGCGGCTTCTTTGATTAACTAATATCGTTTGCTGTGCGTCTAGGCGAGACTGATGTACTTCCTCCCGGTTTTTTAAGCGCTCACTTCGCTTTTCTTCATTTTTTCAAGAAATAGTCACAAAAATATTATGAGTTCTATGCACAGTTTGGGTCGTTTAATAACTGTTCATGTTATAAACATGAAAAAAAACACTGCGGGTTTTGAGAGAGATGAACCCAAGTCTATTTTTATTGACTTTTTCGTATTCAATAAGGTAGAATTTTTAAAAGTGACGTTGTTCTGTAGCACTTTATAATGAAATGGTCGCATTTTGTAATAAAAAAGCTGTCGCACTTCGTAATAAAAAAGCTGTCACACTTCGTAATAAAAAAGCTGTGGCACTTTGTAATAAAAAAGCTGTCGTACTTTGTATTAAAATGAGATGTCGCACCTTTTAACACTTCGCGCTTCTTAAAAATAAACTTGATGTAGATGTTCAGAGGACAGGTAGATCCATTGATAGCTGTTAATTCTGTATATGATAATGATTATAATAATATTGATAATAATAACAATAGGGATGTTGATAATGATGAGAATGAAAATGATGATAATGTGAAAACACCAGCGGCTATGTTTCGGCTTCAAGATGTTCCTGGGTAAGTGCAGTTATACACAGTATCTATACGGACGATCTCATGACCTCAAGATAGTTGTTACGAGAAAATATACTGATTTTTCCGTGTGTTTGTTTGGAACACATTTATTCGTAAACTTCTCACATTTAACCATTTCCAATTTATTCGAGCTCATTCAAGTTCTTTTATTTTAGTAAATAAAAGAAAAAAATTTATTAAAAAAAATATCACAGTAGCCGTTGGAATAGATTTTGCTTGCTACACGCTTTCACTATGCACCTGCATGTCGTTACTTTTGTTCATCATTACTAGTGAAATTTTAGGTAAATATAAATGTTAATGATACACGACGGCGTGCCGATTACACAGACGACCGCGTGACGATTACTAGCTTAGGTTTTACTCTGGCACGATATATGTTAGAGTGCTCTACGAATAAAGTCTGCAGTGGAACCAAAACGCTGTCTTATCCTTGACGTCCGTATAAGCTCGCTTGAAGTAGATCTCCGTGTGCTAGGATATCGTGACGAGTTTCAGTTCTCGTAAGCGGAGTGGTCTCTATTAAGTTAATTTCCCCCGTTTTGTACGTTTCCCGCGAAGTCCAGTTAAGTGCGCGAAAACCTATCGTCACATAGTGTCCATCATGAAAGCGAAAGTCTTTGTCCTTAAGACGAGAGTTGACTGCTTGACTCCAACTCAAAACAATAAGATAATTTCAATAGCACGAGAAATGAAGAACTCCAGTTTCGTGACATGACTGAACACGTTACGACCTAGAGACACCTCATTAGCACATAGAACCTGATAACATAATACAATGGCTATTATTATGGACTTTCGCTCCGCCATCTTGAGGTCACGAGGTCGTCCGCATAAATGGAGCTGATACTGCACTTCCCAAGGGAGATCTTGAAGCCGGAACACCGCAGCTGGTGTCTTCGTTAAGGAACAAATTATCATTACTGTCATGATTACAATTATTACCATTATTATCATTATTTTCATTCTCTTTCCTTCAACACAAAGTGCAATGGTTCGAAATGGTCTCTTCTTACTAAGTGAGACAATTTTTAAGTCCTAGTGTGACGTGACAATTGTATCACAAAGTGCGACAGAACAGACGTCAAGTTATTGTCTACGTATTTGATTCACACGCACAGAGGCAAGCGACTGGTTGTTTTAGAATACACTAAAATAGTGAGATATTATTGAACAAATAGACAATTTTAACTCATTTATTACTGCAACGATTCCCAAATTATTTTGTGGGAAAATCCCGCGCGAGTTGAAGGAGGCGAATGGCAAAGATATTGTGAGTTTCAGTAGCCAATCAGAGCGCGCCTACGACGCTATCCTTTGTTTTAGTATATACTAATTAACAACTATTCCTCAAAGTTGAGGTAGCTTGTGATGGATATTTATCGAACTGAGAAGTGGCGAGGTAAACATGCTACTAGCACGGGAAGATGATTTCAGTAACTCATTTATTCCTGCAACGATTACAATATTTTCGGGCGCGAATCCCTCGTGCGTTGCTTGGAGGTGAATTGCTAACAGTCAGTCATGACATTTACTGAAATAAGTTTGATCTTAAATTCATAGGACTCCCTTCAATTACCTACTTGTGAACTTAGCTGTATCAGACATTATGTTTGCCACCTTCATAGCACCAAATCATGTCTTTGAGGACAGCTTCACTCATCCAAAAGGAACTACGGGCTTGGTTGTGTGCCTGGTAATAACAGCTGGAAACGTGGCTTGGATCGGTGCAGCTTCATCGTCCGTGACTCTTACTGCCATCGCAGTTGAACGCTACTGTACTGTTACTAGTCCTGATGGTAGTAATGGAAAACTCACCAAAAAAAAGCTTAAGGTGAGGAAATTATGATGTTTACTTTGTAACTTTCAACTGCCGTTAAGGATCAGCAGAAAATCATTAGATACGGGAGCTTGTCAGAAAATTTTTGTAGAAAAACTGAGGTCAAGAAAATCTTCCATACTCTCTGCCCCCAAACAATGACAAGCTTAGCTCTTTTTGTTTGTGGGGTAATTTAGTTAGGATGAAGGGACTGGGGGGTGTTACTGCTAATTATATCATTCTCACAGTATTTCTATCGATTACAATATAAGCGTTTTTGTTTTAGGCGATTATTTCTGGATGTTGGATCTTCTCAGTGGCTTTAAACATGCCACTTTTTCTAGCAACAAGATTTGATTCATCAATCAGTGACTGCAAGTGGATTTGGCCTGAAAAGTGGATCGGTGCAGCATACGACTCTGTATGGCTTGTACTATTGGCTATAATTCCTCTGACAGTGATGACTGGTTTATATTCAAAGGTCGTTTACATGTTGTGGTTCAAACGTAATGAGGAAAATGAAGTCGCTCATCAACAGAAGGTAGGATTCGATGGGATGTTCTGTGACTTGTTATGTGACAAGCTGAAGTGCAGGGGAAACGCATTTCCACGGGTTCTTTCCTAAGGTAGACGACGACACCATTGATACATTTTGCTTTTTATCATGAAATAAATTTTTTATCATGAAATAAATTTTTATCATGAAAACAAACATGAAAAAAACAGATTCTATGTCAAAGAAGACAGTAAGTCACAGTAATAAGTCACAGAGGACGTCAAAATGTGGTAAGAACATCAGTGATACACTCGGTTGCGCCAGGAGCCACTTTTTTGTTCTTAACACATTTGGACGCCGTTTGTGATCTATCAAGAGAATGTAGAGTTTATATTCTCTTGGATGTAATAATGAGGAGGCGCATGGCGACATGAAATCTATTTGTTAACCCTTAAACTCCCATTAGAGACCAATACAGAATTTCTCCTTACAGTATCAATACAATATCAAGCAGGCAAGTGATGAGAATAAAGAAAAATATTATCTTAGGGATAAGGAGTTGATCCAATACCAAACTCTCCAAACTATCATCACAAATACTATATGGCAGACAGTACGGAGAATTATTAATGAGATCTTGGGAGTTTAAGGGTTAACGGAATTGCTGATCCTCGAGATAAGTACAAGCGCTGGCTAGTTTTTTTTCCACGTTTTGTTGGTGATCTGGGTAGATTTACACATTCATACCTCACTCGCAAATTTTTTCTTCCTTTTTCTTTTTTTCCAGGGAGTCCTGAAGGTCAGGAAGCGAGTAACGTTAAGTGTAATCACTGTCAGTGCCATATTTGGAGCTTGTTGGATCACAGGATTGCTGATTTACATCCTTAGCTACCTTGACATCCTCTTGTTTGGTTCAATCTCATACGTTCTTTCTGACACTTTGTTTATGATCAACTCTGCCATCAACCCTTTTGTTTATGCTCTGCTGAATGAGCGTTTCAGGCATAAGATCAAAATTTTATGCCGTACTCGCCGAATTTCTAGGGTACATACCTCAAGCAAGCATGGAATAGGGCCTCAAAACAACACCTCTCCCGTAACTGACACTGTAAATGTTCAATGAAATAATGCCACAGGTCCGATGGATAACAACAGACGATTGGTACGAGAAAAAGTTCCCCAGATGCATCTGCAAGGAGAGTTGGAGCATGGTCGTCGAGACTAACTAAGAGTTTCAAGGCAAAAGTAGCTGCGGGCAATAACGCCTGCGTAAAATACTGCAAATGTCACATTGAGACACTGTGACAATTAAGCTTGTGTTCGACACAAACTGACTGGCAGCGCCGCACCTATGAAAAAAATTTTAGCGTTAACGTAAACGGCCATGCATCAAACTACCCACAACCACTGTACAATTAACTTTGAATCGTTAGTTTTTGCACGTGATCTATGCGTTGAATGAACGATAGCAAACTTTTTCTTCGCCTGAACTAATAGAGACTAATGGAAGTCAGGGCTTGAATTTATTCACCCCAACAAGTTCAAATATTTTAAATGAACGGACTGTGAACGGTTTACCTGAGAAGGCTAAGAATTAGGAACTCTGAACTAAGAATACTTTCCACGTACGATTCAATGCGACGTATTCGCGGCTTAGATTTCCCTAATGATAAAATTAATCAGTTGTGTATGCTTTTGATTCTACGTATGACAAACTTTCGGAGTTTCTTCGCTTTTAAAAAGGATAATCGGAGCTCTCGGCAATCGTTGAAAGTATCACCGAAAAATATCGCGTAATGAATGCGAAAGCGATCTTAAAAAAATAAGAATAGGGCTTGAATAAAAGAAACGTGGGCGGATCAAGAGAGTTCCTAAGCAGAGCCTGGTTGTTCAAAGAGCGGATGACGCTGTTCAATGAACAAATCACTATCCAGCAGTTATATAGGTGCCAACAACCCATACGGCACTATCCACCAGATAGAAATTAATCTAATTTAATTATTAATCTGGAAAGAGTTTCCTTCCTTAAAACTACCAGGGCAAGAACAATAGCCCAGCACGTGTGTCTAAAAATATTTTGCAGTTATCAGCCGTCCTCAGGAAAACAACAAAGTGAAATCACCAGAATCAGAATGGCGAGAGAATGCAAAACCCGAGGATAATTATTTACGTTTCTATCTAGAACTCAGCGCTGTTCACATATGGTATGCCAAAGTTGAGGTAAAGAGCCGTTTGAGACGGAAAGCAGCCCTAGCCATTTCTGGAATTCTGAAAAAAAAATCCTTATTCATTTGTTATCCGTTTTCCTCAGCTTTGTCGTCCTGTCTATTGAAAAGGTCCCTGAATGCCCTAAATGATAGGTGCTTCTGACAATAGTAAGCTCACGATCTGACAATAGCTAATGTGCTTCTCAGAAAACCATACGCTAAAAATTATTTAAGCAATGCCTTTTGTTCCAACCAACTACAACCACAACGACTGTTAGTTTGTGGCTTTGAAGTTCGTTTGTGTCCCTAAATCTCGTTCTCAGTTCATAATTGACCGTTCATAATCTTATATTTATTTCTTACAAGTGTTCCTCGTTTTCCGAGTCTCAGAATAATGCAATGCCATATCGAGTGCAATACCAGAACAAAGGCCAAAATCACACGATAGTCATCCAATCTTTTGTACTTCTACTTAGCTGGTTCACAGAAGCGAAGAAAACGCAAACGGAGTAATAAAAGGTACAACTCAGCGAGAGATGCACACACTTAAGATTATTGAGTGACCCTGTAAGGTTGATAACTGGGTAACTCTGTAAGGTGGACCACTGAGTGACCTTGTAAGATGGATCACCGGTTGACCTTGTAAGGTGGATTACTGAGTGACCATGTAAGGTGGATCACTGGGTGACTCTGTAAGGTGGATCACCGAGTGACCTTGTAAGATGGATCACCGGTTGACTCTGTAAGGTGGATCACTGAGTGACCATGTAAGGTGAATCGCTGAGTGACCCTGTAAGGTGGATCACCGAGTGACCCTGTAAGGTGGATCACTGAGTGACCCTGTAAGTAGGACGAGGCGATTAGTACGTGGAGTAGCAGTGCACGAGAGATTTCATATCATAAATAACTCATACTGGAGCCAAAGACTCAACGGCGACATTGAATAACCTGAAAAGGCCGCTATACCGCTAAAAGAACACTTTTAATTCACTAATGCCAGCTCATGTGACTTCAAATTTAGTAGAGTTTTACAGGGACTTTTCAACACAACACAACAGAAACATTCCGAAAACCAACTGAGTAGGACTCAGATCTACTACTAAAGGAGCAGGGATTGAATCGAAAGGACACGCCGAGGTATTCGTATAAACTCAAAGATAATAAGGACTGTCAGCTTATCACAGTTATCTCTCAGTAAAAGTAGTTGCAGTGTACGTATCACAGTGCATATCACAGTTAGATCTCCATCTCCAATTAACTGATAAACTCGATTGCAAAAACGTTGACGCCTAAAATGCGTTGATAATGAACGACGAGGCCTAACGGCTTAATGGGTACACACGCATTGACAGAACTTCGAACAGAAGCGAATAAAAACTGACTGCTGGTTACATTTTGGTGAATAAATCAAAATGGTGACCTTCCCACCGACTGTCTGCATTTTCCACTCCTACATTGCATCTTGAGTTCTTGTGATTAGACAGGTGAAATAAAAGTTAATGTTGTTCTTGGAGTTGTTGCAAGTAACTTGGAAATTTTATTTTAGCGTCATAATCTTCTAACACAGTTGGCACTGAATAAGGTCACTCATAGTAAATTAGCGTGCGATGCAAGTTTAAAGCCTTTCTCTATATTTTACTAACAAAATAAAAACTTACAAATTTGTGTAATACAATTTACAAAAACTAAATTAAATAAACGAGCAACGCGCCGTCTGGTCGGGTAATCGGATAGTTCTAGGAAAGGTTTCAGCTGACCTCATGCCTGTTGCATGCGACAGCAATCCACAAAAAAAAGATGAGAAATAAAGGCGAAGGAGACTCGTTTAAAGTTTAAAGGAATACCACTCATTTCAAACATAATCGGAGATCATAACAGTGAGGTTGCCGTTAATGACCCTCTTTTCGACGGTTTCATATTTAGCAAGGGCGTTATGTTTTGATTTTAGGGCATGCACAGATGCCCTTTCACCAAGGCGAGCTGAGAACAAGTCAGGGAAAATAATTATTTAGATGTCGGCTACTCGTTCAAGCGCTTTTCTTCGAAACTACAATCATATCTGCCATTTGTTCTGTGTAAGAATCCAAGGTAGTCCTTATAAATTTGTATTTTTCTGCTCACCAGAATGGACACCTGTGGGACAAAATGTTGGAAACTTTTTATAATAATAATAATAATAATAATAATAATAATAATAATAATAATAATAATAATAATAATAATAATGACTTTATTGGATAACACAATTACTGGTAGAACCAGTAGTTCTCATTGTGATCCAAAAGCGATTTATTTCGACGCAATGAAATTTCAGTTATTAATTCTTACCATCCTATGTAGCACTGACAGAGATTCTCGTGTGAAGTGGCTTGTTTGATGAGAAGATCAACTTGGGTGGGTACATCGAGGTTGTTATTACTAGTGAAGTCGCTTCCTATAGAACAAAGACAGTAAGTAGCAAACGTTTCTCCAACAGACACTATCATTTGTAAAGCACCGTGTCTTGCTGAGCAACAATGCAGTGTGACGAAGGGTTATGCTTTAATACTTCCATGATTTTCCACATTTTCATCTCAGTTTCTTTACAAACTTACCTCATTTATTCATAAAACCTAAAAACGTGCAATTTGATACCCGACGTCTTACGTTACCGTCATGAACACTGGGAAATATAACTTCGGGTTGTTTATCCAATTTGAGCCATAACTGAACGCAAGAAGCAATTGACAAGAAGGTGAAAGTGTACCTGTTAATTTGTCTCTCACACGGTTAACAATGGCGACAGCTTTCTTGTTAAGGGCCTCTGGCTTAGGGCCGCTTTCATCTTCTGTAAAGAGAGCAAAATTTTAACATGCTTCATTAAAAGAACACCCATATTTTAAACATGCAAAAAATATAGAGCAAAATGAAAACAATAATAAATAATAAATTTAATACTTATATAGCGAAAAATTAATTATAAGTATATGATCTAATGCGCTTAATGATCAACAATATCATTAACATAGAACTTAAAAACAAATAAACAACCAAAAGAAAACAAAAAAACAACAACATATTCCACACCAAGAAGAACTTCAGATTCAGCAACGAGTCTGTGTGGTTTTTCTTTATCAAAAAGCTGTTTCTCCCGAGAGGTCTTAATAAATGAATGTCATTCATGATAAAACCAAAGTCATTTCCGTTCGCACCGTAAGATGGCATGTGTTCTGTCGACTGCTTCTTGGTGGGGCGTTCAGGATTCACCTCCACGCCTTCGAGAACATCTAATCAAATAGAAAATGGAAAAAAAACGAAGACAATTAATGTATCATCGACTTAAACAAGTGCATGAAAAGATCTTCAAAGGAGAGCCTCACTCCAATGGTATAATAACTCATATTATACCTGTCGCGAGACAAGGAAAAAAACAAAAACAGAAACGAGTTTTGGTAGTTCGTCGTGATGAATTGGAACCAAAGGTTATCGTTTGTCTGACAACATTGGCCCCTGAGACCACGACGTTCTGAAGACTTCATGTCCTTCAGATAATATTCAGGCGATGAACTCGACTTGCGATCCGCTCAAAATTATATGCATGTGCTTATGACAAAATATCTTCAAGCTTATTTAAAATAAAAAAAAAATTGTGTCAACGCACAGCAATAACTTACCCTCCCCTCCCTCAGACATGGTGTCAGATCTGCCCTTGGAGCGTTTGATTTTTGGCGTAGCTGTAAAAGGAACATGTAGTAAAGTGAGGCAAGTAGTATGAAAATGAGCAGATAAGATCAACAGATCGCGTCACCACCAAAACTTCATTTCAATGTGACATTATGCTCTGTAACTCTAGTTGGCTTCCCTTAATTTTGTTTACAAAATATTGTAAAGAACGTCAATGGAAATGCTTAAAATGTATAGTCTGTATGCAACTTACAATCCATAAGCCTCCAATTCAGTAAGGGATCGTAAACAAAAGCTTCCAACACTGCCATGACACTGTCCTTGTGAGCCCGCAGAACTCGCATGACACTTTCACACGTCATTCGGTAGTTTCCATCAATACCAGTCACCTAAACAACAAAACAGATCGATATCAACCTTAACACAAGAGGCACGCATTGCATTTTCCCATCAGCGCTTACATGTCATAACCCTCAAAACACATTATTCAATTTCAACTTGTTTTTTTCGAGTAACTAAGTAAATTCAACCTTAGAATCATCCCCCTTTCAACCTGAGTCAGCCACAGAAACATCAAAGATTATGATTGTGGTTCATACCTCCATAGCATTCGTCAACATTCTCGTCAGTCTAAACGGGATTTTCTCGGGAAACTTTTCTCTGGTCATTGCCACCTCGAAAAAAAAGGGAAAAGCAAATTTTTTACAAAGTCCTGGCACGGGAACAAACAAACCTACAAACCAAAAATACAAGTGTAACATACCTCAAAGCAATCACCAAAATCGATATGGGCGATCTTTCCATTTAAGCGGTTCAGCATCAAATTTGATGGATGCCTGGGACATTCAAAACAGTTTTAAGTTAATAAAGATTGTATATCGGATGAAAGTAATTCAGTAAAAGTGTCCCACAAATCACACCATTCACTGTGATATTCCTTCAAAGTAGAAATAGGGCAAAGTAAAACTTTATCTAACCTGTCTCCCAGGCCCAGCACATATCCCACCATGGACATAACAGCAAGAGATCGAGTGTAGTTAGTTCGACGATCAAACCATACCTTAAATACGTGAAACAATAGAAAGAGAAATATGTAAATAACAGCTACGAACAGGGCTCCCGCTATGAACAGGGCTCCTGCTACGGACAGGGCTCCTGCTACGAACAGGGCTCCTGCTACGAACAGGGCTCCTGCTACGAACAGGGCTCCTGCTACGAATAATTCCCTTTAGAGTTTACTGCTAGAGCTGCAAATTTGGTTCATACTGTGTATGGGAAAAAAAGTTTGATTTGTGAGCGTACTTGCAATTTTCATCTTATCACCACGTAACATAAAATAAGAATTTTCATTCAAAAGATAATACACCAACAATGAATGCTTGGTATGATTTCTTTACCTCTGAGCTAGGACTTTTCAGCCACAACAGCTTAGCCAAGTCATCTCCATTGGTGTTGGACAGCGCATGCTCAAACACCTCCACTTTTTGCATTAGAGTCAAATGGTCATAATCAGGCGCCATCTGATCAGACAAGAGATATAAAGACATTTAACCAAGCGCGTGAAACTCAGTGTCTGACGGTCAGTGTGTGACTTTCAATGTGTGGCTGTCAAATACTGAAGATGTTAGATTGGCTAAAGGTACATGTCTCTTAGTCAGAGAGTTATATACCCTTACGAGCTGAACTTACTCTTAACATGATGCGATGTTCTATATTAAGGAGAATCTTTTTCTTTTCCCGATAGTCCCGGATGAGGGCGTGCAGGGTGTCACTGTGAGGCACCCAACCAATCAGACCAGAGTTTGTTGACAGCGGAATGACTGCATAACGCACAATTCTAGAAATAAAAGTAAATGAGACAAACATAAATGAAACTATTCTCAGTGAATTAAAAAATACATTATTGAGCATGTTTTACCCCAAATGTCTCTTGGAAGTTTCTTGATCACCAGCCAACAGAGTGTTCACCAAACCAAAAAGTTGCATGACTCTTTCGTCCTGCCGAAGATCTTCGTGGCCCTTCAGCAAAAACATGAACTCGGAGCCATTACTCCCTACAGGACAAAGATAAGCATGAAAGAAGGATCACGTACATTTTTCAGTTTTTTCCACAACACTTTTCTCCAAACAATATTACTTTACCTGTAATAAACAGTTTTCTTGGTCTCTGTTTGGACGTAATGACGTTAAGGGAGGCATGAACATGTCTGATGTGTATCACAGGTTTATGAGGCTCGTAGGTTCCCGGTACAGCCAGCTCCAGGTCCCGACACATCAACAATTTGGGAGACACGTACTGAAGCTCTAGAGAAGTCAACTGCATGAAGAAAACACACACGTTACTGATTTGATAGAGCTTTTAATTGCAGCTCCTTAGCACCTCTCCTATGAATCAGTAACCAACAGTATCAGTTAAATGTCAGTTAATTACCTAGATCAACTTCAAGACAATTAAAGAAGCGTTTATTTTAATTTTCTCTCCGATCTATTATTTTCAATATCATTTTGGATTTATACAAATTGTAACAGTACCTGTGGTAGTTGCTTGGAGATTCTTCTAAAGACCAAGTAGTACAAATCCCAGGCCTGAGTAAGATCTTTTACATTTCCTGATCGCTGATACTTCCTACACCACTCCTGAGCTTCCATAAGGTCCCGGCCGTAAGCCTGGACAAGATTAACCATTGATCTTGTTAAAGTGTAAATGTCTAACGCTTAAGCTTTAAACTTTAAAACTTATCTTTATTTGGAATAATTTTTTTCTCTCTTTTCTCTCATATGAGTATATGTAAATAAAGAAATGCGTGTTACAAGTGTTAAATTCTAATTTTAAATTCTAAGGTTCCTATATACGAATGCAAGCGAAAACACGAAGAAAGGAACGAACGTACATTCAGAGGAACGAATGGAAACACTTATAACCGAACAGCTAGCAGAGAGACTTCCTTGGTAGGGTCCATTATCAAGGTCTCCCCTTAAAAGGAACCCTCGTGAAATGATAAAAAAGAAAGTGTGTCCACTATCCGGCCATTCAAGCCTGAACTGTGATTAGCATCACGGTGGACAAAACCGGAGGAAACACGGTCTGGATACATGTAAGTAGACAAAGAAATGAAAAAGCATAATATCTTTGGCAAAGACTACAACTACCACGCCACTTTAGATCATATACGTTACCTGGTTAAACGAAGTTTCTTTGAGAGTCTGTGGTCCCCTCTCCATCATCTGATGCAGCGGCTCCAAAGCGGTAAACATTCCTTTTACATTGCCTTCGCTGAAGTAAAGCCTTGAAGCTTCTTCGAGCCCTTCATGCCATAATTCATGCCACAAGATGGCCACTCGGATAAGCTCGTCACTTACCTAAAATAAGTGTATGATAAGGAAGAAACTAAAAATACCTGAACTGACCCAGCATTCATGTTTTCTATTGTAACCGTATATTGATTCATAAATGACAAAATTTGATGAGAAGAGCCGC